GTACGCGAAATACTTGTAACTTAAGACTTAAAATTCTGAAGGGGTACGCGAATTTATTTATCGTGAATTTTAATTCGAATTACTGTAGCATTAAATTTGAGAGATGTAATGCTAATTCTAAAAAATCAATCAAAAATTCAGCATTACATTTCCATGAACAACATTCTGGCATGGAGAAGTATTGACGAGATTATACTCATCATATTTGCGAGCAAAACGTTTCCCAAAGGCATATGCTGCAGTTTGGGTCAATGCCTTTGAATTCTCGAGCATGCAAATTGGTTAATTTTCTTTCTAATTGGTGAATCACAGCTTTCGAACGTGTGGATAAGGCTTGGAAAACTAACACAACAACGTGTCTGAGCCATTAAGAGATCAGAAATGCATAAAATATTCACATTTTACTATTTACGTAAAAATAATGCATTTAAGCAGTGTTTTTTGTCACTTGTGGACAGCGCTAAATCTTTGGAAAATGTCGGCAATACATAGTTTCATTACTCAACTGAGATGCTATTATGTGTTGAGCCTCACAGAGCACCCCATATAAGGAGAGTTGAACGATAGTTTAATTGCTCAGAAATTTTAACCTGAAGTTGAATACCGTAAATCGAGGGAGAAGTACCATGTACAGTAATAAAAGCCATTTAAGTGCAAACACGCTCAAGTCCTTCCAAATAAAAAAATACATATATTTTCCTATAGTGATTCCTGTGACTGGACGGAATATCACCATACATTTTGCAAGTACAGTACTGTACTGTAAATCGTTCACGTTTGTAATTCATTTAGTTTACCTCGTTATTTTTTATTAGACATTTTTGTTTTTGTCGGAGTTCTCAATAATACAGCATTTTTATAATTAAGGATTTGAAGGTGCGAATGACAATGCTGTACTCAGTGGATTATTAATGCCTATTCAATTAATGAGCAAAAATTTGATCCGAAACTAATTAACATCTAATGGTTGATTCTGTAAAGTACAATTGCGGATACAATATTGTAAATACTCTATGTACAGCGGTTTTGTCCTGGACATGAATATCCACATTCAAAAATTTATTATACAAGTACAGTAAAATCTTGTTACAACAAACTTTTGGGGACCAGGGAAAAAGTTTGTTATAACGGATAATTTGTTGTAACGAGATTATCAAAAAAATGACCTGAAAAATTTTTTTCAGCTGAAATCTGCATATATTCAGAATCAGGCTTGTCTTTCAGTTTAAGAACTAAAGTCATTGTTTGAAAATATCAGTGATTTTCTTTTGAACAACAGAAGAGGGTTGTCAGTCACTGATTTGATTTTTTGCTACCACAACAAGGATAATTTCTAGCAGACAATGTGCAATTTGGTAACAATTAAAAAAAATTCCATTTCATCTGCATTGAAAATGCTGACAGGACTGTAAGATGAAATACTTTTCTTCATCTCACTGACCCACCACTCATTCAATTTTGTGGTGAGAACTGCTGACTCTTCCCCACAGATCAGTTTAGCTGAATTTCAAAATCAATCACAGAAACAATTAAGCCACCCAACACTAGCTAGAAATGATTTGTGGTCAAAAGAAAGTGCCAACTTTCTTAAGGGTCAATTTATAGGAATGTTGCTAGATGGCACTTCTTGAAACC